ATTAAATTTATACTACTGGAAGTTGTGAGCTTTGAACCGTGTATACCACAAGTAGCCTTATTTAGTCGGGTCTTAGAGCTTAGTAACAAGTTAAAAACATAATAAACATTAAATTTATACTACTGGAAGTTGTGAGCTTTGAACCGTGTATACCACAAGTAGCCTTATTTAGCCGGGTCTTGGGGCTTGCAGAAATGCTTTACAATCGTTCACAAAAAAAAATGTAAGTACAACTATCGGTCTGTAATCGCAAACTGACCTCCCTTAATGGTTAAGCCTAAAGAGAATGATAGTATTTAAACATTCGCTTTATCAGTTCCCTGAAGCTAAAGAACCGATAGCAACCCTACGTAAAGTTATTAATTCTCTCGCTTACATCTTTTCTGAGGGGCTTTGGTTTCTCCTTCTGCACTTGAAATTTGAAGTCCGATTTTATTATGTATATCCATTTACAAACGTCTGGGTTAGAAGAAAAAAGTCAAAAATCTTCTCAAACTCAAACAATAGGTGATGTCTCACAGACACAGCAAAATAAAGAGCTTCAATCATATTGGCCCGTTGTATTCACGTGCTGTAAAACTAATTTACTACGTCACATTTTATTCAGTGTAACTCAGTAGTGATTCTCAGGCTTCAAGTATGTTGCCACGGGCCTCCACTAACTCAGTGGTGATTCTCAGGCTTAACGTATGTTGCCACGGGCCTCCACTAACTCAGTGGTGATTCTCAGGCTTAACGTATGTTGCCACGGGCCTCCACTAACTCAGTGGTGATTCTCAGGCTTAACGTATGTTGCCACCGGCCTCCACTAACTCAGTGGTGATTCTCAGGCTTAACGTATGTTGCCACGGGCCTCCACTAACTCAGTGGTGATTCTCGGGATTCTTGTATTTTGCTAATAATAAGGATAAGTTTCTTCTTGAAACTTTGCTTTCACATAAAACGACACACCACTCAAGAGGTTAATGCCCAATATCTAAACCATCATTTCACAAATGTCTCTGTGTGTGTAATGTCCAATACTGTATATCTAAACCATCATTTCACAAATGTCTGTGTGTGTGTGTAATGTCCAATAATGGTTTAGATATACAGTATTGGACATTACACACACACAGACATTTGTGAAATGATGGTTTAGATATACAGTATTGGACATTACACACACACAGACATTTGTGAAATGATGGTTTAGATATACAGCATTTCACAAATGTCTGTGTGTGTGTAATGTCCAATACTGTATATCTAAACCATCATTTCACAAATGTCTGTGTGTGTAATGTCCAATACTGTATATCTAAACCATCATTTCACAAATGTCTGTATGTGTAATGTCCAATACTGTATATCTAAACCATCATTTCACAAATGTCTGTACGTGTCCGGTTATAACAGGTGAACCGCTAAACCAATTGCCACTGACATATACTCTTTGGACCCCCCCTCCACCTCGGATAATAATGTGGGAGAGGGCATTCAGATATGATTCGATATGTCATCCCCGGGAGACCGGACAAGTCAGCTACTAATGGCCTGACGTAAATATTACAACTGACAGCGTGTCAAACGTAACTGACCGTAGCTTATCATAATGTAACCTTGGGTTAAGGTAGACAAGTAAGTACATAGAAAACTCCCAGGAAGACTGAAAGAACGACAAGTAAAAAAAAAAAAAAAGGTGGAAATGACGCGGATACTGACCTGGCGTCCAAAAACCTCGATCTTAGTATCATAACGGCTTCGCACGTGCTCTGTTTCAGCTGCACTTGGATGGAGTTGAATTTTCTATGGATGATCTGTACCATTCTCTCGATCTCCTTTGGAGTGATAGGCCTCGTCCGACTTTGTTCTCTGAGCAGGTTCATCACGTGTGTAGTAAACTCGTTGCAAGCCTACCGTGAAGCAACTGTTACTTTAAAACAGACTCATTATGCATGAACCTTTTGGTACTTTGAAAACAAAAGTTACACATATTGAACAATACACAGTATTCAGACCAACATGTAAACAATATACTTAGGTTTTATTTTAAGAGTCCGAACAATGTACAGTATTTAGACCAACATTTAAACAATAAATTTAGGTTTTATTTTAAGAGTTTGAACAATACATAGTATTCACACCAACAATAAACTTAGGCTTTATTTTAAAAGTCCGAACAATACACAGTATTCAGACCAACAATAAACGTAGGTTCTATTTTAAGAGTCCGAACAATACACAGTATTCACACCAACAATAAACTTAGGCTTTATTTTAAAAGTCCGAACAATACACAGTATTCAGACCAACAATAAACGTAGGTTCTATTTTAAGAGTCCGAACAATACACAGCATTCAGACCAACAATAAACGTAGGTTCTATTTTAAGAGTCCGAACAATACACAGTATTCACACCAACAATAAACTTAGGCTTTATTTTAAGAGTCCGAACAACACACAGCATTCAGACCAACAATAAACGTAGGTTCTACTTTAAGAGTCCGAACAATACACAGTATTCACACCAACAATAAACGTAGGTTCTATTTTAAGATCCCACATCAGATATGTCATACACACAATGACTATTAAAGTAAGTATAGAATTTATCATCACCAGCGTAAGTGCATTGATAATCGTAATTAGACAAAAACAATACCGATAATTAATTATCTGAGAACTCATACTGATTTGTACGCAGAAACTTCAACTATATTATCATAGTTACTCTTAATCGTATCCTGAAGATGCGTTACATTTCGTTTGGTTTATTTTGAATTTCACGCAAACCTAACTCGAGCACTAGTTGTGCTCTAATTTAGCAGAGATAGACTCGAGGGAAATCGGTTGGTCACCACCACCCACCGCCTACTCTTAGGCTACTCTTTTACCAACGAATAGTTGGATTGACCGTCATATTATAACGCCAACTCGGCTGTTACAATGTAACACGTCACTCTAGTTGATACCACCAGACAGGTAGCCAGTTCACTATCCTACAGTTGACACCACCAGACAGGTAGCCAGTTCATTATCCTACAGTAACACGTCACTGTAGTTGATACCACCAGACAAGTATCTAATTCACTATCCTACAGTTGACACCACCAGACAGGTAGCCAGTTCACTATCCTACAGTAACACGTCACTCTAGTTGATACCACCAGACAGGTAGCCAGTTCACTATCCTACAGTAACACGTCACTCTAG